AGTAATGCAGCACAGGCTTTTAAGCCGGAAGTGCCAACCAACTTGAGAACATGGATTTAGTCATGAACACACAAATTCCAGGAAATATTTTCTGCCATTTAAAGTGTCTGTTATTTCAGCGAACATGTTCAGCTTTTATTTGCTGCTAGTTGAGTTATCCTAATGGATGGTATGCATGGGGTCCACTGGAACACCAACCAACCATTTTTACGATACTGACATACAATGCGATGCTCGATAAAGCTGTGGGATATCATGATGCCAATATAAGAAACGATAAATCATTATAAAAATAATTTACCTCTGACTGGATGTGACACGAGTACATATGTTGTATTTTTTTATTTATTATTATTAATTGTTTTGAATGTGTAAACATAAATCTAACTAAACAAAGCTACAAAATTGTACAAAATTACAGAAGCACCATTAACTATTAACAGTTACAGACGTCAACAGCTACTAACATCTGAACTGCAAGCATGTTTTTTGTGCACTGAAAGGCTAGAAACACTCAGCACTACCTCAACAACTACTTCTATAAAGGATACAATAACAAATAAATATATATTTATTTTTATATAGACACACAAGAATGACTAAACATTTTAGCCATTACTGCCTCACACACTTAAAACACAATACTGGGTGTGAGAACAATCCCGATGTTTGATGCATTTTTAAAGGCGTGTAGTTCAGGATGGAGTCATTTTTGAGCTGTGCATGTGTATATTTTGTAATTGACTATTTAGCCTAATGGTTAAGTCATTTTTATCTCCCATATGGGAGAGCAGGGTTCAGTCCCAGCGCAGAGAAACACTTGTCAGGCTTATAACGATAAAAATATGATTTATTGTGCAGCCCTACAGCCAACCCTGCTCTCCCCTATAGTCCTTTGCTTGATCATGGTGTTGTGTTGTTGCCATGTTGGACTGTGTGGCTACAGGGCAGTTTACATTGCTCGACAATGTTGTCAGTACCACTAAAGACCATGTTGACATTTTAATCTCAAATCCAGTGATTACATTGCATCAGTCCATAAAGGTTTGCAGTGCAGCGTGACATTTATGTATTTCACAAGATTGCAAAACTGACAGAAAACTGCAGTCATGCAAGCCCAAAGCCATCAGCTCGTACTTGTAACCTCCACCTGGATACAAGCCCTGTTTGCTTAGTGGAGAAACAGGCAACTAATTGCGCTTCATATGTTCTGCTGTTGGGATTATAATGTCGATGGACAGTAGCCATTCTGATTTTAGTGGGTGCAATTACCAAAAGCTCTTAATCAATAAGCGCTGTTTAATTAATAACCTTAAGAGCCCCACAAAGAACAGAAGCCCAGATTAAAACTGCACTTTGACCCTTGGGCATAATTTTGAGTTTCGCAGACGCTGTCAGATAAACTAAGCACCTTATTCTTCCTTTAACAAAAGCACTTAGCCAGAAATTTGACTGGAAAGAAAATGAAATGTGTCTCGAGTGTTAAATGTTCATACACAATTTCGTTGCATACATATTCTATACATTGTAATGTGTGTATATATGTGTATATATATATATGATGAGAAAAATATATCACATCAGTAATTAAATTATTAAATTAAAGAAATTATTATCCAGAGTGCCTTCTAAAGGATGTCTTGTTACTCATAACTTAACATCTAAAATATTTTTATATTCATCTAAAATAAATAACTTCTGGTCTTATCTAGTTTATGACATTTAAATCCTCTTTGTGCAAGACATTATTGTATATTAATGACATATTATTAATAAATTCATTGTTACTTGGAACAAGTGGCTCCCAACTTAGTATACAGTATATACAGTAGCGTGCAAAAGTCAGAGACCCCCCTACATTTATGTCATTTTCAGTCAAAACAGCTAGTTTTTATTTAGGGTGTCCACTCTTTAGCTATGCAGTCTCGCTTTCAGTTTTTCAAAATAATCTGCCAAGATATTTTTCCACACCTCCAAAGTTCAGTCCTAGAAGTTGGTTGCATTTTCTGCTTCTCATCATTTAGTTACTCCCAAACACATTCAGTGATGTTGAGGTCTGGACTGGGGCGGTCACTTTATTTATTAGAGAACACTAGTAGCTATTTAAGGGCTTTATGACAGCAACACATCCTTTCAGACCCTTAGTGTTGACTTGTCTTCTCAACGCAGAAGGATGGATTTTTTCCAAGAGGAAGAGTGGAGCTTGATTTTACTTAAAGATGAAAGTTTTAAGTACTGTTAATCTGATGGTCACAGTTTTGGTGGTCTCCAGTTTTGTCACTTATTTTTGCTTTGACATCCCCCTTCTTTCTGCAAGTGAATTATCTTATGTCTAATTTCCTCAGAAATCCCTAAATAAGGAAGAATTTTTGACTGGAATCAATTTTGAATGGAAATTAAGTAGATGAATGGTCTCTAATTTTTCACATATCTTAACCAATCTGGGGAATGTGAGTGGTGTTTCTGACTTAAGCAGTTATGGAAACTCTTATTTTTCCTAATATCTTGTAACTTGTGGAATTTGTTAGGTTTGCATAAATTGAATTAGAAATACTCAATTAGTCAATTAGTTGTGGAAGAGTTTTATAATATAAATAGCTCTGTTACCTGAGAACTTCTCTCAAACAGTCCTGTCTGCTTTTGTTGCACAGTAAACCGAAGGTGAGACAGTTCTATCTCCATTTTTGAGTTTTTGACATAATGTGAAAATGCCTGTTTCCCTTTACGTTGTGTATAAATTTCACAATGAATGGACCAAAAGAAAATGACTTGGAAAAAAGTCTGGTTCCATTGATTTACATTAAAATAAAGAAGGTTTTTTCCTTCTTCTGTAAAGTTACCATTTTGGAGATACGAGGTTTACTTCCAACAACAGCGATACGCTCCTCATAGGCTAATCGTGACACGTAGATGGCAGAAAATATATAAGAAAGTATTAACTGGAGCTCATTTAGCATCTTTATGTTCACCAAGCTGTTATGCTATATGCCTGTCCTTCATTCTTACTCGGCTCATAGATTCTACAGCCATTCGTTCCAGCCATATAGCACAATATGAGGTGACTGATTAGCTTTCTTTCTTTATTAACCTCACTAGTCAACATAATAAGGTGGAACAAATACCTGTAGATGCTGCAGGCCACCTCGGACTCAGTTTCATACTTTGTTCAATGTGCTACAACAGCAATTTCCTTGGTGCGAGTTTATCTGAAATGGCTCACTACACCCTATACAGTGCACACAGCATGATTTAATGGCATTTTCATCCTATACAACACACTATATGTCAAACATAGAGCCAGTCTGGATTAAATCATATGTTCTCTTATGACCACAAAAGGTCTAAGAGGGGAAAATGGCTGTTTATTTATTTATTTTTTTACAGTAGTAGCCAATTCCCACCTGTTAGCATAACAATGCTTCCAGCCAGGCAACATAATTGGGCATCTGTAACAAGTACTTACTGATCTTAACAGACTGTATTCGATATTGTTGATCCTGCACATTGTGGAATTTAGTTTACTAAGGACTTATTATTGCCTATGCATATGTTTGTGTGGTCAAAATGGTTGTATGTCATTTGTTAGGTCACATTGTTTACATGTCAAAGTAAACGTGACGACAACATTGTGAAATCACAGTGATTAATGAGAAGAGTATGTTAAACAGCAGAAATAGCCGCTTTTTGCATGACACCAGTGGCGACCCATGATCATTAGAGCTAGGCCTTCAGTTTAAGCCATGAATGTCAAAAAATAAGATATACAATAATGATCATTTCTGCTAGCATCCCTATGGGACTCTAGTAGTTGGTTAGCACTAAGCTAATGGCATTTCGTATGAACATTTTTGGTTCATCTAAAACACATTTCATGTTTTACTTGAAGCTTGTGACAGAGATATTAGCATATATTTTACCCTGTAGCAGTTTCACAGTAACTCAGTGGAGAGGCTGGTATAGAGCTGCCACCGCTGTTTTCCATTTCTAACAACCCATTGATTAGGCTGCCACTCGGATTCACAGTCAGCGAAATATCTAGGACTTCCAGAAGGGTACAGAGACGTTTTTCTCACAAAATTGGTCCTGATTATTGGAAATCAAAACATGATTGGCTGATTCCTCCTTCTATTGAATAGAAATGAACCAAAAATTACCGACATATTTTTGGTTCTCAGAAATCATCAGGTCTTTTCTGAAGACCCAGAAGGCCCTGATGGTTTCCCTCCACTAGACACCAAAGGAATACCATATTGCAACATGTTGATCAAATTTACTGTCAATTTGTTCCACAATGTCATGCTGTAACTAATAAGTCATAGAGATCTAGATGCAAAGATTCTTTTCTAGACTGTGTTCTTACACACTATCAAGCATATGGGGTCATTCCGGGCGTTCTGAAGAGCTGTGAACGATGAGCGAACATCTTTACTGATCACATAGAATATTTTAAAATCCACCCAGCTGTCAGACATGCATCACTCTGACACTGAAATGTCTTCTCCCATAATGATCCGTCATGAGCTTTTTTCATTTGACTTCCTGATCCATTTCTCATGCTCAATCTGTTTGCCTGTTTGGGCTTAACTCGGAGGGCAATCTCAGAACTATGAAATAGTTTGCTATTTTTGGTCTGCATACATTTGTATACAAATGCCAGATATAGTTTAGCATCAGATTTAAGCGGTAAATCTGCATGGATCTGTTTTATAGGACCAGGAACATAAGAATTAAACCAAAACCCTGAAAAATTTAGCACCATTGTTTGTTCCATCTGCTGACATTCATCACTGACTACTACTTCAAACAACCCTTGCTATCTCTAACATCTATCTTCTGAACGTGTACAGTATTTTTATTCATATTCATATTTTTATTCAGTGTATTATTCTTTATTTTTGTAGTATCTTTTCTGTCTCTGTAGAACAGATTCCTCATACTGGACTAATAAGCAATTCTGATTCTGATTTCAATGGCATATTTATGTTATGTGTCTGTTCTAGGTCCTTATCGGGCAGAATAGTGGGAGGTGTCTGGTGGTTCTTCACCCTCATCATCATCTCGTCCTACACGGCTAACCTGGCTGCCTTCCTCACAGTGGAGAGAATGGTCTCGCCTATTGAGAGCGCAGAAGATCTAGCTAAACAAACAGAGATTGCCTATGGAACACTCGACTCAGGCTCCACCAAAGAGTTCTTTAGGGTGAGTTTGCATGCATCTTATATTCCTCCATTGTTTGTCTCCTGAGCTGTAATAATAGGCTTAACCCTAAGTCTAAGGGCATATGTGCAGAGTTAGGAAGAAGCAGAACAGTACGATACAAAAAAGGTGATCTTTTACAGACAGTAATCAGATTAACTGATCATCTTAAAAATATGATTATTACTAGAATGATTACACATGATTGTGAAAACTGAAACAAGTCAGTCTTGCACAGTGTGGCTGATGAGAAGCTCCATCCTTCCATAATGACCACCGGTGCTGATTTTTTTGTCGGTGGTCATCTCTACAACCTAACTGAGTAAACAGTACATACTCAGACAGTAGCAACACGAAATGTACCTTGCATTGTGTAGCTATGTAAAATATGATTTGCACCTTTTACTTTATCGCTGTGCAATTTGTGACTGCAAACAGACATTTGTGTGCTCCCCCTGGTGTGAGTTCATGTTGGGGTTTCCTCCCTTTCAATGATGCAACTTGAATGATAATAGCAGTGACTTGGAGATTTTGTTAAAAAGTTTATTTCCCCAAAGTTAAGTGGGTAGGGGAGCACCTGAAATGTTGAAAATTTTGGTTGTGTGCTGTCCAAAAACACTGGAGCATCTCCAGGCTAATCCTTTGAGTAGTTTATTGACATAGCAGTACATTCCCTTCCACCGCTCACTTCCTCGTTAGTGGGATGCTGCTGTTTCCGCCAGTGGTGTCAATAAGTTCATATTGTCCTTTTTGATGGTGCTGGTCATTAACCGCTGTGGAGTTTTACAGCAGGTGCTGTGTACAACCTTGAGGTAGCTGGGTTTGTCAGTGTGAGGAGGGTAATGGTGAGGAGGCGTCTTCAGAGGTGATAAAGCAGCCTAATCAGAGTCCACAGCTCATCCTTCCACCTGAAGAGGTCAACTCACAAAATATAATTAGTTGCTTTGCCTGGGCCAGCAAATTGGACGTGATGAAAAGAGGCCCCCTAGGGTCAAACAGCACACTTGAAAGACAGGGGAGATGAAGTAAGCAATATGGCTGTGGGCGCAGTGGGACGGCCGTTGCAATTAAGGCTGAAATTAACTATCGGCGATGTTTATACGAGAGGCAAAACTGATTTCGGAGCTACTTTTCAGCGTTAATCAATGCACCTTGTCTTTACACGTACAGTCTATTATAGCGCACTGTATATTAGGACAGTCTGTCGATGCACCATGGCTGCAGTGGAATGGTAATGTTTGTCCTGAGTGGACTTTCTCTCCTTTTAGACATTCAATGTAGATTTTTATCTCATATTTATAAAGTAAAAATAAATATAGTATATATAACAGACCCGGTATCCAGGAGGGGCAATGCCTTCTCAGCTTTGAATTCTTATTTTGTCATGCAAGGTAGCCTACCCCTCAAACTGCACCCAAGGGAATTACATGGCTTTCTCTACTAAGCAAGCTGGTTAGATATACAGCATGATTCAAAAAGATTAATCCGATTTCAAAATGATTTATTTCACTTGTAAATCATTACAGATCAATGCAGTGAACTGTAAATGGTTTAAATGAGCATAAAGTTTATTATGTAATTGTACAAGGTCTCAGTCTGAACCTCCTCCAGCTGTACAGACAACATCAACACCATAGTCAAACTCATCCCATACTGGATTGAGCATGTCGGGTGTCGCTGCACTCACGGCTCTTTCAGTGCGATTTCGGAGATCATCCAGTGTTGTGGAACCAACGCCGAACGCTCTGAGCTGTTGGAGCTTCACTGCCCACGAAAATCACACTGCACAGTTATGACAGATTCACTCTTATTGAAGTGGAGAACACAGAATGCAGACCGAAGGGAGCCATCTTCCGCTGACAGTCAGAAACTCTATGACCCCCTCTTTCAATTGGTATGTGATTGGTTCCTAGGCGCCTCACGGTTGTACAAATATGGTGCTTTAAATCGGATGAATCTTTTTGAATCACCCTGTATATTTGAATTTAATGTATTGGAAAAGAATACAACAAAAATGTGGCCTGTGCAAAAGTAATGACCCATTTTATCTGTTATGTTTTGTTTATTTCCAATATATTAAACTCAACAGAAACTGTGTACTAGAGAATGTGAAAATCAACAAAATATGTCATTTGTGTGGGGATATTCAGACTTTTGCATATGACTTTATGACTTTTTATAAAGTTACGTAAGAAAAATAGCTCACATTACTGTGAGGATAATGTACTGAAGGACCTAAAAAGTCCAGGTTATAGCGAGCAGGCATTTTTCACAGGGGCTCTAATGGAGACTGGACATACTGAGCAGTAAATGGAAATGGAACATGCTGCACAGCACACGGCCTTCTCAATCAGTCCTAGGCTATGTTCGCTTGCTAGCTGCTTCTCGCCGAGTAGCTCAGCTGAGCTCCATCAATTACAGGTTTGCTCGGCGGCAAGTTTTTGATGTCATTAAAGGTTTACAGCAAGACAACTGAGAGGTGGTGAGGGACCCGCACGTCTCCCATATTCTATATAATGAGTGTCCTACTTACACTCTGAAGCTTTCAAATCTGAAATGACATGTGTGAACCGCTATTCCAGGGGACTTTTAATTAAAACTGCAGAGGGCTGACAGGGAAAAAAATACTGATTAATGGGGGCTCGAGTTCTATTTCAGATCTGTTTTTCGGGAACTACGTTCGGGTTTAATTAGACCCGCACGGCAGAAAGCAGCTGGAAGTTTCAAATCAGCCACAACATTCGGAGCAAGACATATGTCATCATCTTTGACACAGTCCCCCCGCTTACTTATTTATATATTTTCCTAGCAATCATCTCTCATGGATTCGCACCAAACCCTGTCGACGTGTGGAATAAACTCGTGGGTGTTTAGGGCGAGCGCCAAGATTGTGGAGGGAATCTGATGTACATACTGTTATTTCTACATGTGTAGGCTTGCTGGGATCTGCACTACTTGCTTCCCTGCTTGATCTTTTATAGATAGACGTGGGCTGCGCTGCAAATGCTTCGGAAAAACAGTAGATCCTGCTTAATTTGAAGCAACTAAGCACTGAACTTTTTCATTATTACGACAGTAGGTGTATTTAAAGTGAAATTGAATGTATAAACATAAGTCTGGAAGATTATTACGTGTGCCTTTTGCTCATTATTGAAAAAGGCAATGCAAGGTTAAACCTCAGAACTGCACGCATAATAAAAATGAGCGATGAAGTTCATTTTCGAGAAGATATGGCCTTTGAAATCTTTAATATCAGGATTACGACTGTGTGTGCAGCACACAGATCTAAGCGGTGACGAATGGAAGCGTAAATCCAGGTTATCTGGAGCATTTAGCCGGATTACAGTTTTTGCTGTCATGTTGAAGTGGCAATTTCCTGCGCCACGTTCAGAAATGCCAGGCAATCGCAGTGCAGCAGAAGGCTGGTGCTGTTGAACACAGAAATGCTGCAGTCAACATATTTCCAATCTCGATTTCCATTTACGCAGCCCGGGGAAATGCACGCCAACAGAGCCGTGTTAGAAATGAGAGGACAATATTTTGCAAGGATGGAATAAAACAAGTCTTGATTCTTGATCAATAGCCCCTCAAGGCGCTTACATCTGTCTCTCCAGTAAAGTGCACCAGCTGGCTCAGGAGACTCCCGTGGTGCGCCCCGTAAAACGCCACAGGAGTGCTCAACACCCGCCTACACACAGGCTGCAACTGCCTCGTACCCACTCACACATCACTGATACGAGAGCGCTTCCCGGCCACTGCTGGAATTCAAATGTGATTTTACCTTTTTTCCGTTTTTTTCACTTTTTATTGCTGCCCAAAAACACGTATAACCTTTTTTTTTATTTTTGAATTTTCTACATTGAACCCAGCAGCTGTCCTTTACATCGTATGAACATTTCAGGAGTTACAGATGATTAGAAATGGTCCAAAATTACATGAAATAAAATCTGTTCACATTAACTAACATTAAAAGCTGTTTTTGTTATTTGTGTTTTGTTTTGTTTTTTTGTGGGTTTAATGTAAATCATTCTACCAAACCGTTTCAAAGTTAAAAACACATTTTGGACTTTTAGACTAAACTCCTTTAACTCCTATACCTTAATTATGTTATTATGTTTAAAGAAATGGTTGAACATTCCATTTTGCACTCAAAACAATCATAACAGTACCAAATTATTACCTAATTTTACCAAACTTTACCTGTTTAGAAGTGACAATTTTAGACAAATTTTGAGCATAACTCAAAAACACAGCCATGACACGCAAACACAGTTTTGAAGAGCTGTTCACACAGAAAATCATCATATTTTTCATTAAAAGACAAAATGTTCACTTACTTGCAGAAAATAGGTAAGAAGTTTGAACAATTAAAATCAAAGAAAAGTTATGACAAATAAAATGCAGAAGACATTTTCAAGATTCTGCACTATTTGTGGGTCACTATTAAACTGTACGCAAATTTGTGACGTTGAGCTGCTAGGACCTGTCACTTTTTTGAGTCTCATCTTTTCTATTTAAACTAGAGTTCAGACGACTTTTTTCAGGTGGATTTGCTCTTCTAATCTAAAGATTCTACTTTTTTACTCTATTATTTTGATAATATAACGTAATAAAAAAAATTCTGATTGTCTAGTGGCCTCAGACTGTTGGACTGTATGTAAATAATCTCTGTTCTCATTGGCTAAAGACTTATTTGTGTTGTGCCTTATTTTAAAAGAAGCCTTGGCTGAACCATTTACGTATGGACAGAAATTCTCAGGGAAGAAACTACTCCTTCTGATTTGCTTCCCAGCAGCCCTGAACAGCACAATGTTTAATCTTTTATCTCACATATTTCCCTCTAGTAACAATAACAGACTGCAGTAGCAACACTTCTTATCACTTCAATACGAACTGGTGGTTGTATACTAATGTCAGAGGTTGAACACGTTGAACAGGGTATCTATATCTGACAGTATAGAAGTGAATGTATAGGTACAGTCTCAAAACCTTACTCTATTAAA